GTGGGCTGTAGCTACAGGCTGGGGCTGGGGCTGCAGTGGCCTCTTCCTAGTGGGTGGTTGCACAGTGGCAGCACTGGGAGGGGGGATTGGGGGGCTACAGCAAATTTTGGGTTGGTTGCAGACCCCCGAACCACCCTGGCCCAGCCCCCCACCGGGAAGAACCCAGAGAAGCCCTGGCCCCAGCCCAGTGGCAGCCAGCCCTTGCCCTGTGCAGATCTGGGAACACACGCCCCCACCCCCATGCACTCCCAGGGTGTGTGCAGCAGTGGGAACCCCCCCTTCCTTGCGACTTCCCTCGGACAAGCCATGGTTCTGTCCTGTGCCCCACCCCAGCTGGGCAGAGCCTGTCCCCGCCCCAGCCCCAACCCCACTCCCACTTCCTCCCTCACCATGGAGGCCTCAATGTACCCCACTACTCTCCTTCCCTCCCCCCTTGCCCCTTCCTCCACAACAGACTTACCAGCTGGACCTGGCTGCTCTCCATGCTGCTGGGCTGTGCTTGTGGCCGCCTGCGTGCTACGCTGCGTGCATGCACGGGGCATTTATCAGTCACATTATTGGCCTCATCTGACAAAAAAAGCCAATTGTCAATACTCTCAACTTTCCTCATATCAGTGCTGATCCAATATGGGACCGATTTATCAGTGCACCTCTAGTCAGAACTGTATGTTAAAGGAAGGAATGTGCTTAGTACCTTAACTACTAAGCTCTAATAAATCTCTGCTTATCATATGTGAACATAAGTTTTTCAAAGCCTTACAACTTGCCCCAACTGAGTCCATTTTCAAAGGAATAGCACAACTGATGCCCTTGACACAAAGGCCACTTACTGCCAATTTTGATGTCTCCAACACAAAGCAGAAAAGGAAGAGTTACAAGAATTTTCTTAAATAGGCAAAACAATGTCTCATTCTCTTCAGAATGGAATGGTTTCACTTGAGGCAGGGACTGAGCAAGGAAAATTTCAGCCCAAGTAGTTTAAGTTTGGCAAGCTGTAATCAACCTTAATAAGGCAGAGCTGCCCGTCCCACTTATAATAATGTATGTGGTAGAAATAATTGTGCTCTGTTATGTGAACATTTTGAATCATTTCAGAAAGGAAGAAAAGATTAAAAAATAGTGAGTGATTAAAGGTGTATGCTAAAATAGCTAACCCTTTCCTATGATTACAGAGTTTTCTTACACAATTTCCAGCATTGCAAAAATACTGAGCCATTTGAAACATATACGCTTTAAGTGTATATCCTTATATAGAAATACACTGAAGCTTTGGAGCAGTGACAAGTTAATTTAATTTCCGTCTTAAAATCAGGTAAAGTCTATCTCATTTGTTACCATGGATACAAGACATTATTTCCATTTGTTTGGGATTTTATAGTGGCTATGAAATTAAGCTATGACACATTTTCATGGATGGAGTTGACTCAAAAACATATAACTTCAATGCCTGACCTGCCATTGTTCCAATGGATTTTCATTTTTAGACAATGCATGTTGGCAGATTGCTACTATTGTTCAATGCATGTACTTCAGGAGGAGATATATATGTTTGCTGATGCTGCTTTTGAACAGTAGGAGTGAGAGGAGAGAAAAAAAATCATTCATTTAATCACTCTGATAAGAGCATGAAAGAATCCTGAAAAATGGCCAGATGTTTGGAGTACATTAAGAATATATCAATGTTGTGTTATTTGCTACAGTTTGGTAGCAAGTCCATTTACGGAATATTCCTTGATTCTGTAAATGCGTCCATTTTTCTCTGCAAGACCTGTTCTTCAGGCTGCAGCACCAATAATTATTCTCTAGTTTTCAAAGTGAGAGGAAGGAGGGGGTTAGAAGAGAGTGGGTGTGAACTGAGAGAAGGAATACATTTTTGTAATACAGACTTATATGTAGGACTCAGGAACTCAAAGGAATCTAGTTTATCTTGTTTTAAATTAACTTTAATATATGCAACAGGATAAAAGGGAATGAGAAATCTTTTTGTTAAATCATTACCAGCAAAGTCCTGGGTATATGTTTAATATTTCATATAGAACCTGATTTTCATAGATGCTGAGCACCTGCTATGCTGATGGATTTCAACTGAAGCTACCAGTCCTCAGCATTTCTATAAGCATAGCCCAGAGTTCTACAGGTTCTACATAAATCAAAGGCTGATCTTAAATCAAAGGCTGCTATTTACATATTCATGGCTGAAGCACAGGGAAAGTGTAGATATCCAGGGATAGTATGAATGCTACTAGTAAATGAAAACTGTCTATCCAAAGCCACCCCAATAATCCACCTGGTTGTTGAATCTGCTCACAACTTCACAACAAATATCATGGACTCCACCTTAATAGCGTCCATGCTCTCCTTCTTTAGCAGGCACTACCACTGGACTGCCAGCACCCTCTTTTCCAATTCCTTGACCCATCTACATTTAGAAAATGGGGGTGGAGGTGGTGTGCCACATCATCACATACCATATAACACATCTTTTTGCTCCAATTAAAGAGAAAGTAGATGCTTTACAAATATGCTAGCACTATATTATTAATCTGAAAAGCAAAGTAAAAGCAGATACAACTATTATAATGTACACTAATTTGGTAGATAATACATGAAATTTAAAAAAGCACAACAAACTAGGCAAAAATAGTCAAAACAGTCAAAAGATATTGTGTCATTAGACCTGAAGTTATTACAGTTAAATGTACAGCTCTTATTCTTGTTTGTATTCATGTACCATAGAAAATTGTTGGGTTAATTCCAAACTAGCAAAAATTCACTGCCAAGGACTTTAAAATCAAGGCAGGGATAAAATTCAGTGTCATGACTACATAAAACAGATAGAAAATGATAAAGCACTGTATGGTTTTTCTTAATATTCTTGGTTAACAATATTAACATTTAATCAACTTTCCCACAGGGATTCACTTACAATTCTGAGGACCTGATCTCCTTTGCTTTGAATCTTAGGTAGGTTCAGAGCAAATACAACAATGCTGAATGAGTTGTAAAAGGCTTACCATTTTGACTTGGCAGCATTTTATATCCACTTTGTGTTGCTGTGAATGACTTGACAAAATTCAAGGCAATAGAGATCAGGCATCAAGTCCTACATATAGCAAAGCATTTATACACATGTGATTGATGTCAGTAATACTAAAGTATGCTATTAATAAAGGATGAGATTACTGACATGCTTAAACTTTGTGCTTAAGTGCTTTGAAGTCAATTTTTGCTACCAATTTTATTCCTGAATTAGAAGGGCAGCTAATGCCAGATTTCCCGACTCTCAAGTATTTTGTTTAGAAGTAACATGTTTGTGCTTTAAATTATCCCAACTCAGAAAAGTTTTTGGACATAGCTGTAATCTGTGCATTCACATATCTGCTACTGAAATTTTCTCTTGATCGGGAGCTATAAATCTGGAGCCTCATAGCCATCCTTACAGCTACCAATTGCACTGTCACAAAGACAGGATTTATGATTTCTAGTGGTGAAATCAGAAGTAGAAGACTGTTAATTTTTTGGACACAAACGCTTAGAAATAAATTCCCAGTTTATAGCATTAAGTCACTGTCAAGAGTGGTGGAGGTGACACTGTGCTTGACACAGACACATCAATAGCTCCATTGACTTCAAAGCAGTTTTTGGCACTGGAGAGGTGTGTGGTACTATACCACAAAAAGTACTATACTACTTTTGTATAACTACTCTTTTCTGAATTTAAAAGCTACCTCCCTCTTCCCCTGCCCCAAAGAATCATAAAAATCTCACTTGACTTATATGCAGGGTTAATCTAAGGCAGGGCCTTCTAGCATCCTGATTTTTGTACCTGCTGTATTTTTTTGCATGCAATAAATATACCAAGTGAGAAATAATTTTCAGCCCAGTTTTTATCTTAATGTTTAGTCCATTTAACCCTTTGGGTCCTTTCTTTGGTTAGTTGATTCTCCTGTGGGATTTTGTGAGAGCAAAAGCAGCTCAAAATCCTTTTTCGTACTTATTAACTTACTAGCCAAGTGCCTGTCAAGAATGATGGGAGGTGGGGCTGGGGTGGGACAAAGGCCTATGTCCGGCCCCCACCCTGTGCTTTGGGTCTGGTCCTGCTCCCATCTCCCTTCAGGGCCAAGGCTGCCGCTACTCTCCCACATCCCCACGCTCCAGGTCCGCGTGGTCTGCATGCTGCTCCCTCCCCTCCCCTCCCCTCCCCTCCCCCGTGGCTGTTGGCAGAGCCCGGCAGTGGTGGTGGGGTGCCATCACCATGCCCCCCTCCCCCTCCCTGGGGGCTTTTGGCAGGGTAGGGCGGCAGCACCCCACCATTACAGTGGGTGGGGACAAAGCCCCACATCTGGCCACACCCCCGCTTCCAGTCAGGGAGGGGGTGAATGGGCCCACTCCCCCCACCCTCACTGCCTCTCCTGCCTTCAGGGTGGTTGTCAGGGTGTGGTAGCAGTGGGGCACCACCGTGTCCCCCCTACCCCTCACAGCCAGCTTGTGTCGGGGCTCAGCATTTCCTTGTCCCCCCCACCCAAGTCTGTGCTCCGCCTGCCCCTCCCTGCCCCCCCCTTCTTGTCTGGTTGGGCAGGCCAGTTCTCCGCATCCTCCCCACCCACTGCTGTGTGGCCAGGGCTGGCCGATCTTCCCCTCCCCTGCTGCTTTAGGGCTGAGGCAGCTCTCCCCACTCCCCTCTATCACTGCTGCCTGCAGGGGACAGGGGACCCTGTGTCCTCACTGTCATGGCAGTGCTCTGCCGCACTGTCTTCTGGCTGAACGTTCATGGAGCACTCTAATTGGCTGTTTCTCAGCCAATCAGAGTGTGAATAAAGCATTATAGACAGATGGACAGACAGACTAAGGTTTTTATAATATTAGAATGCTCAGAGGAAAAGCTGTTTTTCCTAAAATTGAATTAGAAAACATGTGGGCGACTTTTAAGCAGGGTTGAATTATAATTGGAATAATATGGCACATTTCTGGGAAGTGACATTAACCCCTTTTCATGATACCTGTTGCATGCCTTGCATTGTCTGCTGTAGAAATTGTAGCTGTTGGTCCTTCGTAAGGCTTTCTTCTGTACGAAAGAGTTGCCCTTTCTCTTGTTTTAGAAGCTCCACCTCATTTCTATAAGCATCCAGCTGCCACCGGAGACTGTCATTTTCTTCCTTAAGTGCATAAGCCTGGGCAGCTAGAGCTAAAAGAAAATTAACACAGCAAGAAGTCAGTAAAATGAATTATTGCTGATAACTTAGGTGGCACTGGACAGATAAAAGAGGATACAACATCAACATTTACAAGATAAATACTGCACCCTTTTGCTTAGTCTACATTAGAGGAATTCAACTGGTAAAAGCCATTGGCACATTTATAGAACACCTTGTGACCAAACAAAAAACATTTCAACTTGTCCACTAATGGTTAACAAAAAGTCTAATAAGCAGTTAGTATATGCAGGTCAAATAAATGTGTCAAGTTTAATTAGTTCAATTGCAAGTAGTTTAATGTCACTGTAGACAGAGAATTGGTTCCCTGATTCCTTCTCACAAATACTGCTCCACAGTACACTCATAGCCTTTTGAAATGTGCTGCACCTGAGAGGTACTTGCAGACTGTTCAAGAGACAACCAGAGGATACTACAAAGGAAAGAGTTAAGGACAGCACAAGTGTGAACACAGAACAACCCTTTAAACTAATTCTAATGGCACACTAGATCGCTTACACTTGAAGTGATTCAATACCAAATGGTTCAGTTCTCTGTCACTGACAAGCCCAGATAAATGGATGGCTTTTTCAACCTTGGGTAGGGCCAGAAGAGCAAGTATAAACAAAAGTTCAGGAGTTGTGGAAACCCTGCTCTTCAAATGTTACTTAATGGAAAGATGGTCCTGGCTTGGTGTACAATGGCTGGAAGAAAAGTAGCAATGGCATAGAGAGATTGAGGACTGCTGCCTTAGAGAAAGTACCTGAGAAACACTTTAGTAGAGTCAGTCTAATTTGGGAAAATGAACTATTACTACCCATGGATACCAGCACTGACTCTCTTCTATCCTGCCATCCAGAGCTGTGAAAAGAGTTCAGCTGGGAGTGTATGTAGAATAAAATGGCTTCCAACTGATTGGGGAAGAGGACTAGAGCTCTGGCCCAAAATGAAGCCAATTATGCTTTTGATTAGGGGTATGTACAGACATTCAGGGAGGCTGGGGTGTTGGGGTTAGATAGAGTTAAAAATGGCCACCCTATCTAAGGTAAGTAGAGACGGGGTGGCTACTGGGGGCTTGGGAAGATCAGAGCAAGGCAAGCAGGCTCTGGTGGGGCAATTGGGGGAAAAGTGGGGTACTCATGGGGGATCTGGGGGCAAGTTGGGTCTGCAGGGGGATCTGGGAGACTGGGGGGCAAGCAGGGTCTGTGGTGCAGATTGCAGGGGCTAGCACATTTTGCCGGGAGGGGAGGTTGGGTGCAAGTGGGGTTGGTGGGGTCCAAAAGAGTTTGGTGGGATCAGGGGGACTAGAGGGGCCCTCAGGGTAGGGGTGGGTGTTGTGGGGACTCTCTCTTCCCCCCAGGCCCAGAGGCTATTTTTAGCTCCCCAGCCACCCCTACACCCAAAAGAAAAACCTCCCCCCACACTGAACCACCCCTCCCCCAGCTCTGA